TCGCGAGGTCGCGGGCGCTGGCGCTGGTCGCGGGCGTGCACAGGCGCGGGCGCGGGCGTGAAAAAACAACACTCTCGAGGTCGCGGATTTTTCCTCGAGGTTGCGGGCATGGAAAAGTGACACTCTCGACGATGCGGAATTTTCCACGAGCTCGCGGACTTGGGGATAATGACACTCTCGACGTCGCGGATTTGTCCTCGAGCTCGCGGGCATGGACGCGCGCGTAGGAATGGTCCCGATGACCTCTTGATGCTCGATTCGCTCTAACTTTTCGCACACAACTCCGATTCGCACGAAATTTAGACTAAAATTCTCATCATTTAATTCTCTTCGTCTCGGTATGGCTTGGTCGGATTTTTCGGGTTGGTTGGCTCGGACGGCTCGTCTCCTCGTTCTCAACACATTGGACCTATTCAACACCAAAACAAAAGAGAAAACGCGCAAAAATACGAAAGCACTATACAATAACAAAAATACACAAAACACGATAAAATGAACCGGTCGACACTAAAATGAGCCTAAAAACTATAAAATAAATCACACAAAACACACGAAGATAACGACAAAAACACAATAAACAGGGTGCAAAGATATTTCGTCAATTAATAGTAAGAATAAGTAATTAAAATCTTGTTTATTTTATAAAAGAAGTTATAATTATATTTTAGTTGCAAAGTATCATAATTTAATTTGAAAGATTTATATGCTAAACATTTATATCCAAAAAATCCGCAACTGATAAGACGTACATGAACAACAATCAATTTAAAGATAGTTCATTGTTAAATAAAAGGATATTTTTGAAATATATTAAATCCAAATAAACTCTCTCTACAGTAAACCCTTGCGGGCGCCGTTCTCGTCTTCTGTGGGTCTCCTCCGGCGGTGGGTGGTCGGATTAGCGGCCGTCTCTGGCCTCCCGCCCATCCCCGTAGACAATTTCCTCTGGGCTTCTCTGTAGCGGCTCAATTTCTGGTTTTCCCCCTTGTTCGGTGGCGTCTGAGGGGCTTCTGCTTTGCCCGGTTGGTCTCAGTGGCTCTGTCTTTTAGGCAGGGCTGTGGGGCTTGGCTGAGTGTCCTGTTTTCGCTTCCTCCCTCGGCTGGCGGGTGGTTCCCCTTTTTTCTTTTGGGTAGTTTTGGTGGATGGAGGTCCCGGTTGGGGCTTATTGTTTGGATTGGGATTGACGGAGTTGGGTTGCTTGGTAGGATTCGGGGGAAGGCGGTTGGCTGGGGTAGGTGGCTTTGGTCTGTGGTCTGGGGTTCCGGGGAGGGGAGCAGGTTGGGTTGTTTCGGGGAATTCGGGGGGTTTCGTTGGGCGGTGATCGGCATGGGGCCCCGGTGGCTACTGTGCGTTGTGTGTGGCTGCTGCCGGGGCTGGGGTTCGGGCATGGGGCGACTATCCTATCTTTCTCAGCTGTTGGGGAGGTTTGGGATCCGGCACATCCAAGTTTGGCTAGTGGTGTTAGCCGGACTTCGGTTGTACTGGTTGGGGTTGTCGTGCTGGTTCTCCCTCGGTTGGAGGGTTCTGGCTCTTTAACCAGGTTCGGGGGCGGGGGCCTACCTTTTTTGTAGGCCTCGTGCAGTTTCGGGGGTGGGTCTTGGCTAGGGGCCCGGTCGAGAGTCAGATGTAGTTGTCGGTTCGGTTCATCGGATTTCCGGGGGAGGATTGCTTTTGTTTTATTTAGTTTTTGTGTTTCAGTTTGTTTAGTTTCTTCCCTTTTTGTATCTTGTGCTTTCTGTTTTGTGTGGTTTAGTTTTGGGAATGATTACAGGCTAGGCAGTGTGCAGTGGCTATGTTTTATCATTTTCCTTTATTTTCGTTTGTTGAATTCTCTAGGCTGCCTTGTGCGTGTCCTCTCAGTTTCTGTTTTCTGGTGTTTAGTTGTGTTTTTGGTTTGGGCCATTGGCCCTTCTACTATTACCCTGTTAGGGTCCATCATTAACCTTTTGGGGTCATATAGTCTGTAATTTTTGCACTTTTGTGCTTTTAATAGAACATCTATCGTTTTGGCAAAAAAAAAAAAACTAATTTCTTCTGGCCGATATCGTGAGATTCTGATATAGTACCTATAAAGTTGTTTTCGAGAAGTGAAGGTATTTCATTTTATTAAGTTATAAGTAATTTTATTAATAAGATAATCGATATACCCGTTTTTAATATAATATTATGGTAAAGATATCTTTCAATTTATTTTTATTTTAGAATATATCACCTTAAATAAATAATTCTCTCCAAGTTTTTTGAAAGACTTACTTCGTAAAGATCGGTTTCCAAACATTTGGTATTTAAATTTTATTAATTTATATTTAATGATTTTCTTAATAATTTGACATGTTGGCTATCAAATTTTGTAATAGGAAGAGTATATTAATTTAATTTTCTTTTCAAAAAATTATTTCGAACATGAGATCTTAGATTTAATAATGTCTCATAAGCAGTTCCAAAATGAAATAATTATTTTTTAGTTTTTAAATTCTGTTAATATTCATAGTAGATGTTTTTTTGCAACTCAATTTGAAATATAACTTATATGATAGTTTTATGGGCATATACATAATGTATTGATTTTATTTGAATACAATTATGTATAAAAATGAAAAAATTACATATGATACATATATATATATATATATATATATATATATGGATGAAATTGGAATCGGTTCATGTTCGGTTCCTCAGTTCGGTACGATTATTTTTGTTTATGTTCTGTTCTCGGCATGGATATCTTATGAATCTAAAGAACCGTACCGAAAAAAATTTCGGTACGGTTCGATTCAGAGATAGTCAAACAGTCAACGAATATTTTTTATTTCAGGATGAATTCAGTTAAGTTTTCGGTAAGGTTCGGTAATCTCCAAGACCCGTGCTCAGCCCTACCCGCGATTGATGGAGTGATCGTTATTTTTTGTTTTGGAAGGACATAAAGAAGTCCCATGTCGATGTGGTAAACAAAGTAATCAGCTTCTTCGAAGAGTATAAGAAGGAGAAGACTCAGTTGGTCAATGTAACCTTCCCAAATGGTATTTTCCTTCACTTCGCTTCGCTTTGTTTGTATGGTCGTCAATTGAATCGAGCTTTTATAATGTTTTATCTATGATTTACTTAAAATGTTTCCTTCACTTCGCTTCGCTTCGTTTGTATGGTCGTCAATTGAATCGAGCCTTTGTAATGCTTTATCTATGAATTACATAAAATGAAATGAATAAAATCTCAGTGATGGCTATGCAACTAGTTTGAGTTTATAGCGGAACGAACAACTGATATGAATGTCAAGGAGGATTTCTTATAGTCTTCATCGGGAGACCTCTGGGACATGGAAGGGTACTTTATGTTCGTGCCCCTTTTGGCAACCAAGTCACAATGGCAACAATATATCTCTCTGGGGATGCTAAGAATATTTGAAACGACTTCCGAACCATCGCATAGAACTGAGGAGCTGACAAGCATACACTGGCTTCAATAGGTAACTCAGATCTACTTGTCAAGTAAAACCTCATGAAGCCTTTGAAGACCGGAGTCGTAGTTTACTTTCTTCTATCTCATAATAGAGCGTAAGAGTAGCCAATCATAAGGCAAACAAGCCAATAATCTCGTGCTACCGCGTTAGCAGATGCATGGCATATGGTTGACTATTTGCTTTAGTGCATTATATGACTTGCAGGGAGCTTATCCGGTCTCAATAAATAGGTGGTTTGGCTTCTCTGAATCGCTTGAGCGGTCTACTAGCCCTTGCCACTCATTTTTGTCTCCTTAAGTCTCTCATCTGTCGATAGGGGAGAACTAATTCAGTGCAATGCAAGAGAAATCATATAGAAATGATTGAATCTCCAGACGCCCTGAAAATACTACGAGGTGCTCGGAAATGGTAGAAGTGGTACGCTTCCTCAACTTCGTCGAACCTCCGTTTTTGTCGATTTTAAAATTAAGTAAGATTTATGATTTTCTTTCATCCATGATATGTCCATCTAAAATGCAATTAGGAGATTTTTGTAACAAAAAAATCTCTGAAATATCCGATCCTTACCGAACCTACCCATTAAAACTGAATCTCCGAACCGAACCGAAACGCATTTCGGTTCAGTTCGGAACGAGAATTTATTAGGATCGATTTGGTTCCATAAATCCAAATTTGGAATCACTGAAGTTCGGTTCGGTTTTGGAGATTTCTGGATCTCCGAACCCAATCGACCTGTGCTCAGCCTTAATCACAGGTATAGATGTTGTGCATACATCGTTAAATTGGACAGAATTGAGAAATACAACATTTACGTAATATAAAGGCGGGTTTCATTCATTTTATAAAACACTATACAAAAACATGCAGATTTTGTTGAACACGGGAGGGCGTATTTACCCAATTTTTTAACATGCAATAAGTATCCTTCAACAGTAAGAAGAGTATACTTTTCCAAATAAAAAAATAATAACAAAACACTAAGAAAAGTAAACTACTATGTATTTTCATTAATTTATATCTATCATTTACGTTAATGGGAGATGCTACGGTCCGTTACGGTACCATCCCATCGGTTAATCTACGTGTAGTTAGATAAGATCGATGATCCAACGGTTAAAACACCCGACGGGATGGTACCGTAACGGGATGGTAGCATTTCCCTACGTTAATAAAAGAAAAAAAAAAGAAAAAAAAATAAGTGAATGTACATGTTAGCTTCCCATTGGTTGCATGTGTCATCACACTGTGTTACCTCCACTGCTTGCCACGTGTCCTCCATCCATGCCATCCATCTCCCATTTTAACCTAGTGAATGTACATGTTAGCTTCCCATTGGTTGCATGCGGTCATCACACTGTGTCACCTCCACTTCTTGCCACGTGTCCCTCCATCCATGCCATCCATTTACCATTTTAACCCTCAACATCCACCATATATACACCATCGTTCCCTTCTTAAAGCAGAACAAGATAAAGAAAATACAAGCGAATTAAGTCAATTATCAGTGTTGAAGGAAAAAATAATATAGAGGAAAAGGAAAATGAGCTACATGAGCAGAATGTACATGGCGGCCAGTGTGGCGGCGGTGAAGAGCCTCTCCGATCAAGGGCAGAAGCTCAAGTCCCTCGGCCGTGCCAAGAACCGATTTTTTCCCGGCGGGCAAGGCCCTAACGCGGCTGATCTCCGGCCTTTTTCCGTCTTGGTCAAGGCCGAATCCGGAGGAATTATCGGCGCCGGCGAAGAACGGAGGAGCCAGACGGAGGAGTCTCTCCGGCAGGCCATGTATTTCAATTGCTGGGGGCAGGGCTGAGGGCTAAAATCGTCAATATCGTTGGCCCTAAGGGTGTAGTTGTAGTTTCAATTGATTGGGTCAAAAAGCAACTGGTCGGGATTTTTGGGGGTGGAAGTGATAGATTAGAAAATGTATTGGCATGCCGAAAGTGTAATTATTTGTATGATGGAGGGCTTGGGAGGCAAATTATGTATATTGTACACTGTCTTGATTCTTGATGAGTGATTATTGTACACTGACTTTCGAAAAATGTGTTACCAAATTATAAACAAGTACAAATTTGAGGTGCTCAAACTCGTTTCGATCAAATTAGAGCTCGACTCGGGCATTCGTTTGCAGATCAAGTTCAAGTTCGTGGCCGAACATTCCAAATTATAAACAAAGTTCAAGTTAGAGGTGTGCTCGAGCTAGGCTGGGTTAAACTCTGGGTCTAACTCGCACAATTGTTTGCAGACGAAGTTCAAGTTATAACAAATAAAGTTCAAGTTTGAGGTGCTCGAACTCGGCTGGAGTACACTCTAGTCCGATTCATGCACTCGTTTGCAGATCAAGATCAAGTTCAAGTTTGTGGTCGGAACATTTAAATTATAACAAACAAGTTCAAAGTTTGTGGTCGAACATTCAAATTACAACTAACGTATTTAAACTGAAACTCGACTCGCGCGTTCGATTGCATATATAACGAGAGTGGTGGAAAATTCGTGTAACCGAACCATAACAGGGTTCGCTGCACCATAACAGGGTTCGCTGTTTGTATTTGTGAATGTTTGGAAAGAGTAAAGCTATGAATAGCTTTTTAGATACGAACCTAGATAAAATTTTAATGTCACATGAACTCGAAACAATTAGTCGATTACTGTTGGAAGCTAATCCATACCCCTTATCATCAATGAAGGTAAAAGTCGATCGTGCTAAACTGGTCGGCTGGAAGCTGTTAAATGTCTATTTACAGCAACTAGTTTTCTGTATAGAGTGTATTTAAACGTTATTTATCGGGCTTAGGTGGTTTTACTGTACCAGGAAAGCTTCATGAAGTTGAACTAGTAATTTATCTGCACCATATATGCTATGTTTTTGTAAGAAATTGGGGGGAAAACGGGTGCGGTCTTACTAACATGAAGTGCACCAAAAGCGGGGAGAAACCCATATGAAGATCAAGTGGAGTTTCATCTCAAAACTAATTGGTGGAAGGAGGAGTAGTCCATTAGACTTATAAGGTGAATTTATTTTCCATGTATGAACGATGTGGGACAACTCACAAGTGATATTTTAACAGTTTTGTTTCTAGATTTGTGGCCAATATCATTCATAATACTTCAGTTATGGCACAAAACTAAATCGAAAATTCTATGGCACCACATGTGACACCATATTATAGTAGCACAACATGATTTGGTACATTATGATTGGTGCCACAACATGATGTGTGATAGTTGTGACACCATCATAATGTGGAACTACATGTGACACCATAATGTCAAATACTGCAGTTTGATATGGCCTTGATTGATACATGAACTTGACTCACTGAAATAATGCATAATCTGAATGGTAAGCTCGAATATACACAGTTACAACGATTTGAAAGTATCAACAAACAGTTAAAATAATGGCTTTGTCTTTGATGTTCTTGTGATTGAATATGACGGTTCTTTTTCTCGAAATTACGAATCGAACATAAACAAACACGAGCTTGTATAATACACAAGAAGAGAGAGGCACGATAAGCAATTAATGCGTCCATTACTCATCACTATTTTATATATAACAATTTTGAGCATTTGTTTTTAAGTTTTCAGATGGGAGAAACATATAAACCAAAGGCAAAAAGATTCAACGAAAAGAAGCACACACAGAAAAGAGAGATCCATGCACGATTGTTCCTTAGCACACAACTATTCTTCTTCATATAAAATCCGAGCCATCGTGAAAACAGTGCAAGTCCGGGTGGGGCCCTCCACCTGGCCTTCGAGGGTTCCTCGTGAATCGGCCTGGCTCAAACCCCGGCACGCCAGGCGGGCCATAAGGATCAAAGTGGGCCCGGGCCGGAGAATTTCCAGGAAAGCCAAATCCGCTGGTCCCACGACCTCCAAAGAAGCTCGGATCATTAGGACCCACTAGCATGCTTCCACCTCTGAAAGGCCATCGACCTTATCAAAGACTTCCTTATTCAAATTCGTCCCACCATTATCGTACATTGTGTGTGTGTGTGTGTGTGTGTGTGTGTGTGTGTGTGTGTGTGTGTGTGGATTGTGATTGAATATGGTGATTAATATGTAGACTCGGTGTGTGTATATATAGGATTTGTATTTGTTTTCCTAAGCATGGAAGCCTGGAAGGTGTAGAGTGGAATCATATAATTTCGAGAATTAATTAATTACTTTCCTAATGGGGGAAGGTTTTAGATTGAAAAAATAATGTAATCTTGAATATTAGGTTATTTTCCTTTCGTACACAAGTAATATTGTTTAAATATTAAGTAGCTGGCTACCCAAAAAAAATAATAATTATAATTCACTAATAATATTATAAATTTATGTTATATTGTTTAATATGAAGTATAATATTTTGGGAGAGGGTATTTGTTTTTACTAATTATTTATTTTTGAATTTTATGATAAACTTAATCTCAGCAAGCCTTTTTTTTTTTTTTTCTTTTTTGAGATTTTCAACAAATCCAAACATCATTTCCCTTTCGGTGCCAACTCAAAACTTAAAACTTAATAAAAATAGTAACAAAAAAGTCAATCAACATATATTGTATTCTATTTTTGTTAGTTTTTTAATTTTCTTTTTAAATTATTCTCAAAAAACCGATCTGTTATATTCAACCTCATTTATTTGCTCTAATCCAATCGTCAGGCCTTCATCTAATTCTTTTGCTTCTATTTCATCGATCTTCTCTGCCTCGACCTTCTCCGCTCGACCTCCCGACAGGCATTAGACAACTGTTTGGGCCGTTTATGCGGCGCATTATTGTCTGAGCCCCGAGAAGAGCCACCTAATTAAACGAAAATCAGGCGCTCGGTGACGCTTAACACCTGGGTGCCTTCGCGCATGACATGATTTTTAAAACATTGTATGCTATAGTACGTGTTTAGTATATTATCTTCACTTAAGTATTTGTACGTATTAGTTATACGACTAGAGGTGGCCAGATGGCAGTTCCGGGCCGCGGTTTTGAAGGTCCTGAACCGACCCAGAAATATGTACGGGTCGGTTTGGTGAACAGGCGGTTCCAGACCGGTTCATGAACCGCTAGTTCCAAGCCGACTCAATTCATTAAAAACATAAAAAAATAAGTAAAAATGAAAAAAAAGGTCCCAAAACTGGCCCGGTTAAACTATTAACTCGATTTAAGACTCGTTGACCACGGGTCAGTTCCGGCCGAAACGGTTATTAATACATGTTAAACACGCACTCACACATACATATTCGAGATTCCATACACTACCAAAAAAATCTTACATTCAAACGGAAATTTTCCGTTGGAATGCTTTATATATCCGTATTCCAACGGATATACCTACGTATAAAAATTCGTAGGAAAAACGGCCGTTGGAATAGCTAAAATCCAACGGAAAATCCTACGGAAATAAATTCCTACAGCTATTCCAACGGAAAAAATCCGTTGGAATTCCTCAACCATCCAACACTTTTCCCAACATAAAATTAAGTTTGTTGGAATATTCATTGGAATTTCCAACGGAAATTTTTGCCGTTGGAATTGAAGTGTTTTCTTGTAGTGATATGATCATATATATATTAGTATTTGTACAAATTATATGTACATGTGGCATTAATACATGTTAAATGAGCCTCAAATGTTGATCAAATGACAATTATATAGATGGGAGATGTTACGACGGTGCCGTTACGGAACCATTCCGTCAGGATTTTATAACCGTTAGATCAATTATCCCCTACGGCTACATGATGATCCAATGATTACAAACTCCGACAGAATGATTCCATAACGAGACCTTAGCATTTCTCTATATAGATACCCCCAAGAACATATATGTGAATTCGTTTTGGCCGCAACAATTTGAAAAAATAAAATAAAATAAAAAAGATGCCGGTCCCAATTGGTGGAGAGGAATTAAAAAGGAAAAGGAGAGATTGGTGGTGGGCTTTAATAAAAGGGTGGTTTCAATTAATTAGAATATAGTTGGAAAACATGGACCACCCCACCCCCCAATCTCAGCTGACCTCTACAGGTACAGTACTGTCTAATGCAGGCAATATGTTGCAACACATCACAGGAAAAGAAACCCCCCCTTCTGAGGAATTTTTTTTTTAAAAAAAAAAAATAAATAAATAAATAAAAGCCTGCTAAAAACTGCAGTTTAGCTTCACTTCTGGGGATTCACAACCTACATGAGGGCACACACAATACAACATATGCACACACAAAAATTTCCTTTTTTTTTTTTTTTCCACTCTCTTTTTTCCATGCATGAAATCTTATGTTTGTTCTTTTGTGTACCTTCTTGTTTAAAAAAAAAAAAAAAAAAAAAAAAAAATTAGGTTTGTAAAGTTTGAAAATATTTCCCTTTATGTTGTTGTATTGCCCCTTGCAAGATAAGCTTATCCTTCACAATTTTGTAATAATAAAATGAAAATGTCATACTTCCGTTTATATTACTTTGCAAGAACCCAAGAGCGTTTGGATGAGATGACTTGGGTCTCTTCCAGTTTAACCAGTGGTCTCGTGTTCGAGCCCTGTGAATGCAGCAGTGTTAAAAATTCTTGAGGGAGAGCTTTGTCGCCCTTGTGGTCCTACCCGGCTCGATTCCAGATTAGTCGGTTCCCCTGTGTATCCGGAAACCGGAAAGTCCCTGTACCAAAAAAAAAAAATTACTTTGCAGAATATGAGATTCAGTTTAAAAGTAAATATATTTATTGAAAAAATATGTCTTCTGAGGAGGCACCATAGGCCCATGCGTAGGGCCTCCAATTATTAGGGGCCTGATTTATTTTATTTTTTATTTTTTTTTTGTGATTTATGAATTTGTGTTTGATTTTGTTTATTTACATAAATAAAGAGGCTAATGGCTAAATATGAAATTGACCCATTGCAAATAGTTTTGCCACGCAAATTTAAATCGAAAAATTCGAAAAAGATAAAAATTGTCTGGAACCTCCAAATTTTTAGTGACGGTCCTTGTATTAATTAAGAAAAAAAAGGTACACCAAGAAACAGCATGTGGCGGCTTTGTACCACATAGTATATTGCTAGGCATAGGACCATGAGGAGACATTTCAAACCACCAACTCATTAAAAATATGGGGGTGTCTATATGTACACCCCCTCAAGTGTAAAAAAGGGGTGTACATATAGCACTTTTTTTGTGTAATTTATTAAAAGAGGGTGTACATATAGCATTGCCCTAAAAATATTTATGATTAAGCTATACTAAGATATCATTAAATTATATGGGGACTTGAGGGGATAAAAAGGTTGTTCAATGGTTCTAATTTGTATTTTAATAGTGGTGGGGATCATGTGTGGAATAATTGAGGGGCTATGGCCCCTTTGTTTGTGGGGTCTCTTTTGGGTCTCTTTCAGCTTAATCAGTGGTCTCGTGTTCAAGCCCTGGGAATGCATCAGTGTTAAAAATTCTTGAGGAGAGCTTTGCCGCCTTTGTGGTCCTACCCGGCTCGATTTCGGATTAGTCGGTTCCCCTGTGGATCCGGAAACCGGCAGGTCCGTGTACCCAAAAAAAAAAAAAAAAGTGTAGAGAAGCCTTTGTTTTGTATGTATATGTTGTGTGCATACCATTGAGGATTGACCAACCACCTTTTCTTTTTTGCTTTGTGTGTGTGTGTGAGAGAGAGAGAGAGGGAGAGAGAGGGAGAGAGAGAGGTTTTATGTTTCATGGCTTTGCATGCCCTTTCTTGTTTGATGGGTTATTCAGAGTAGACTTATGAGAAAGACCAAAAGATAGCAAAAACAAAGGCATGGTTTTGCTCTCTCTCTCTCTCTCTCTCTCTCTCTCTCTCTCTCTCTCTCTCTCTCTCTCTCTCTCTCTCTCTCTCATCCACCAAATAACCTTAACAACCCCATCACCCTCCATAGTTTTAACTGTTCTCTTGCCTGATACTCTGTCTGTCTTTCTTAATATTTTCAGAGGAAAGATTCATTTTTTTTTTCTTTTTTTTTTTTGGGAGCTTTGGAGGGTACACAAAGAGAAAGGGACTCACTTTCTTGTGAAATAATTAAAAAAAAAAAATGGATGATATTTGATTTCGTGTGACAGTTTACTGATTGATTGATTGATTGATTGATGGGGCTAATGAAATTCTCTTGGTTGTTTTTTCAGTATCTGGAGCTAAATATCCACAGGTGAGATAGATAGATAAAGAGAGGAGCTTTACAGTCCATACATTCTCCATATTTTTCATGTATGGCTAGCCCGAGTTTTGACGAGGATAAATCACCAACCGGGGACGTAACCGACTACTACATGAATGCCGACAACAACTAAACTATCCCAGCCCAGCTGCAAGGTTTCGGGCCTCCCGGGCCTGAGATTTACGGCCTCATCTCTTCCGGCATAGCGTTTACTCCAAATAACCTGTACACGAACTCCAAGGAACAAAACATGAATCAAGAAAACGGGTTTTACTCGCAGCACGATATGACCGAGCTGCTCGACAGGTCGTGCGTTTTCCCATGCGAGAGGCCTAGTCACGGGCTTTCCCTCTCCTTGAACCCTTCCACAATAGGGCTTCAGCCTTTCGAGCTCCTGCAACAGCAACAACAACAGGACAACAATCTGTTTGGATTCGGACAACAGCAACAGCAGCAGCAACAGCTGGCTTTTATTCGGAACTCGAGGTATTTGGGCCTAGCCCAGGAGCTTCTGACCGAGTTCTGGAATCTCGGGTCGGCCCAAAAGATCCCGAAGGACGGTGATGAGTGGCCGGAGAGTGAGAATGCTGTAGAAAGACAGTTGCTTTACTCGCTCGACATGCTCGAGCTGCTGAGAAGGAAGATAAAGCTGCTTGAAATGCTGGAAGAGGTACTAACAAATGAAATTAATTAACAAAATACGATGATAATAAACATATTTACTTACACACTCTTCATGGTCTTAATGTTTTGAACTTGTTTATTTAGGCTTTTCAAATTAATGCTTACACATGGAGATATATATAAAGAGAAAAAAAAAAAAAAAAAACCTCTTATATTAATAGTAAATGAGAGAAAAAAAATATGTAATTAATTTTTGTACTGGTTTGCAGGTAAAGAAAAGGTACAAACACTACTGCGGCCAAATCCGGGCCGTGACATTGTCATTCGAGTCGGTGGCTGGGAGAGGAGCCGCCCGAGCCTACTTGGGATTGGCCTCAAAGGCCATGTCCCGGCACTTCCGGTGCCTTAAAGACAGGATCTTGAGCCAGATTGAGGCCACAAAGAGGGCCGTGGGGGAGAAGGACAGCAAGGCACCGGGCACCGTGAAAGGGGAGACTCCGAGACTGAGGATTCTCGATCAGACCCTCCGGCAGCAGAAGGCCTTACAGCAGATGAGTAGCATTGAGTTTCAGCCCTGGAGGCCCCAACGTGGGCTTCCCGAGCGCTCGGTCTCCATTCTTCGGGCTTGGCTTTTTGAGCACTTTCTTCACCCGTAAAATTCTAATTGTTATTTTCGTCAATATGCGTAGGAAAAAATAGAAATTTAGTCTTGTAATTGACACCAAAATGATAAATGTCATGGTAATTGTGTTGATTTGAAAAAAAAAAAAAAAAAAAAAAAAAAAAAA